AGACTGAAAACACGAATGCTCGTACCACAACCCTCCCGAAACACAAGCATCGCTGTCAAACATCAGACATTATCGTCTTCCTCAAATGTACATCAACATTTCTTGACAGTTTTAACACTTTAAGGTGAGTGAGTGAGTTAAGTTTTACGCCGCACTCAGCAATATTCCAGCTATATGGGCGGTCTGTAATAATCGAGTCTGGGCCAGACAATCCAGTGATCAACAGCATGATCATCGATCTGCGCAATTGGGAACCGGTGACATGTGTCAACCAAGACAACGAGCCCCACCACCCAACCCCGTTAGTCGCCTCTTACGACAAGCATGGGTTACTGAAGGTTCAGTCTGACCCGGACCTTCACGGGTCTTACACTTTAAGGACTAAGGCAATAGGTCAGATACATGTACTGTGTACTATTTTGTTTTAGGTTTGAGTTTTGAGTTTGTTTTTCTTAAGATTTATCCGTCCTTAATAGAATTTTGAATTTCAACACATATCTCTAATACGTTTGTTGTTTAATGCCACACACTCATTTTCCAGCTATATAACGGCATTCTGTAAATAATCGAGTCTGGACCAGACAATTCAGTGATCAACAGCACGATCATCGATCTACGGAGTTGGAATATGATGACATGTGTCAACCAAGTCAGTAAGCCTGACAACCCGGTCCGGTTAGTCTCCTCTTACGATTGATGAAGACCAATTCTAACCCGTATCTTCACGTGTCGCCACTATTACGACTCCACACTGGCCGTTGACAAGTATAGGGTTTGAGGTCACAGTCTGCACACGATCTAGCGTCACACATGCTTTGAATGTTGAAGCAACAGCTTCAGTTTGTATTCGCCAAGTGCAAATAGCGTCATTTCAAATGTCCACAGACAAAAAATTCTTTCCTCATGTAATTAAGTTCCTCGATGGTGATGTCGACAACTGTTTCAATAACAGGTTGTCACCGTGATTTGAAACCTTAGATTGACAATCAGAACTGAGTAGTTTCCAAATCCATCATACAATCAAAGACTACCCTTCCCTGAATCCTACCTGCGGTTCACTAATTGTAACTTAAGCACATCAGACACAAATCACTAAATATTTGTTAATGTAATTAACATATGGCAAGGACTATGAACTTTGTTGTGGCTGATAAAAAAACCTAAATGAAGGTGTTATCACATGATGAACAAATACAAGGTTAAGGCCCTTTGAGAAATCGTAATTGTATATATGGGGAGATAGTTCCTGCCAATGGCATCCAACACCCAGAAGTGTTATAACCTTATACTAAATGAAGTAATATCATACTATGAAAAGTTGTACTCAAAATAAGAAATTAGTCAAACTGATCTAGTAAAACTTTTAGGACAATATAATGTGCCAAGATTAACAGAGGATATGTGAAACAAATTAGAAGGCGAGTTAACTTATGAAGGAGTTTTTGCTGCAGTAAAAAAAATAAAAAATGAAAAAAGCCCAGGCTCAGATGGGTTCACAGCTGAATTTGTGAAATTCTTTTGGTCTGATTTAGCAAAACCCCTCTTGCGATCTTTTAATTACTCTTACAAACAGGGAGTTCTATCAATTCCACAACAAAGAGGAATTATAACATGTATTCCAAAAGGAAATAAACCAAATTTCTTAAAAATCTCGATCCTGTCGCTCTTTTTTTTATAAAATTGCATCCATGGCCATTGCAAATAGATTTAAGACTGTATTAGATATACATATAAATGAAGATGAAAAAGGGTTTATGTCTGGAAGATATATCAGTGAAATAACTCGTCAAATATATGATCTTATGGAATACAAATCAAACTATCAAATACCAGGTTTGTAGTTACAGATTGATTTTTGGAAAAGCCTTCGATACGATCGATTGGGGTTTTACACAACAAACCATGACCTTTTTCGGTTTTGGTAACTCCATCAAAAACTGGATTAAGACTTCCCACAACGGAATTCAATCTTGTGTGATAGTAAATGGATTTGGATCATTTTTTTTTACATAGCCAGAGAGTGTCGCCAAGGCGATGCCCTATCACTTTATATATTCCTCCTATGTGCCGAAATACTTGCTACGCTCATCAGAATTAATGATATTAAGGAGTAACGATAGGGAATATAGAACATTTACTTTCTCAATTTGAGGATGATACTACTTGTGTTCTAGATGGTTCGGAAAGATGTACATTTGCCACCATACAAGTATTGACATTCTTTGCCCGGTTCTCTGGATTAAAGATTAATATCGAGAAAACAAGATTAATATGGATTGGCTCAAGGAAACGATCAATAATGTAAATTAAAGACCCTAAAACGTGGATACAAAACAATGTCGCTAGTTCTTACTATTCCGATTTGCTTTTTGCTTGGTTCCAATTTGTAAACAACGCCAGCCAAGTAGGTAACTCTGAAATTAATATATTATCCAAAGGCATTTAGTTGAACGACGACATTACAATTGGTAAAAGACCAGTCTCATTAAAGCTATGGCAGAGTAAAGGAATAAATTTTATAAGTGATCTTATTAAAGAAAACGGTTATTTTCATACCCTTGAAAAGTTCAAACAACGTTATGACATTAATTGTTAATTTTCTAGAGCTCAATAGCGTGTTAGCATCTGTCAAAGTATATTGCCGTGGAATGGGTTTTCCAAATTTTAAAACAAATCTTGAATGAATGTCCTTTTATGCCATTTAATATCATACAATCTACTTAAAACAGTAAAAGGAAATCGATATTACTATGAAACTCTTATACAAACTCAGTGTTTACGAAATCAACGTTTTCCAAAATGGGAATTGATACTTGGAGAAACAATACTGGAACCTGACATACAAAAATATAATATGATTCCAACTAAATACCTGCAAATTTCCAAACAGCAATGGTTTCAATATCAAATTCTTCACCATATCTTACAAACAAATTCCTTACTTTTTTTAAATGGGATATGCAGACAGCAATTTATGTGGTTATTGTAATAATCAACGTGAAACAGTTGATCGTCTGTTTTGGTATTGCAACCATGTGGGTTCCATCTGCACAAGTCCTAACCCACATCGTATATCCTGATACAAACCGGCCGATTGCCTTGATACCGGCCGTGTCTAGCACACTGCTCGTCTTGATATAGCACGTAGCTACTGCTTGATGTATGTGACACAACCATTCGTCATCGTACAAGGTATGGCAGACATATACTCTATTATGAAGTCAACGACCAAAATGGTACATGAAAATTACATACATCAATATGACATTCATGGGCAGAGCATGACATGATCTCCGACACGACCCACCCCAGAGGCAGACACTTCTACTCATAATTAAATACTTACGTTTATTCATGGTATATATCCAGTGCGTACAGATCATAGGAGAACCAAAATACATGACATTAAAAATACATCCTATTTTCAATCAGCTTAGTATTTATATCCACATTTGCATACAGATTTTGTATTCGGTGCTAAAAGATTGTGTAAACTTTTTACTTGTTCTCCACGCGTTCATGCATCCTGACATCACCAAATTCAAATCACAAAACAAGTCTCGTTAAAAATCGTTCCATACCGGTACATGACCTTTAAGCATGCAGTTTACGGGTTCTAACATCCCATCAGAAATCACAAATGCAAACGTGCTGTGTACGTGTTTTAAAACTTCTTCAAGAATCACAAAGGACAGACATGCTGTTTACGGGTTTTAAAACCTCATCAAGCATCACAAAAGACAGACATGCTGTTTACGGGTTTTAAAACCTCATCAAGCATCACAAAAGACAGACATGCTGTTTACGGGTTTTAAAACCTCATCAAGAATCACAAAAGACAGACATGCTGTTTACGGGTTTAAAACCTCATCAAAGCATCACAAAGGTGCTTTTACGGGTTTTAAAACCTCATCAAGCATCACTCATCAAGCATCACAAAAGACAGACATGCTGTTTACGGGTTTTAAAACCTCATCAAGAATCACAAAAGACAGACATGCTGTTTACGGGTTTTAAAACCTCATCAAGAATCACAAAAGACAGACAGACATGCTGTTTACGGGTTTTCAAGAATCACAAAAGACAGACATGCTGTTTACGGGTTTTAAAACCTCATCAAGAATCACAAAAGACAGACATGCTGTTTACGGGTTTTAAAACCTCATCAAGAATCACAAAAGACAGACATGCTGTTTACGGGTTTTAAAACCTCATCAAGCATCACAAAAGACAGACATGCTGTTTACGGGTTTTAAAACCTCATCAAGAATCACAAAAGACAGACATGCTGTTTACGGGTTTTAAAACCTCATCAAGAATCACAAAAGACAGACATGCTGTTTACGGGTTTTAAAACCTCATCAAGAATCACAAAAGACAGACATGCTGTTTACGGGTTTTAAAACCTCATCAAGAATCACAAAAGACAGACATGCTGTTTACGGGTTTTAAAACCGCATCAAGAATCACAAAAGACAGACATGCTGTTTACGGGTCTATCACCTAATCAGGAATCACAAAATACAAACAAAAGGAACTGGACACATATACGTAGTTGTCATGGGAAATATAAAATACCACTACAGCCAGCACACAAGCGTTTCTGACAAGACAGAAAAATTCTACTTATGGTCGTAGAAAACATATACGTAAACCAACTTGGAAAGAACAGACTACGCATACCAGACATACAAGTTCACGTTGAGACTTCAACTGCAGGGAATACCATGTTTGGTAATGCAAATGTATTTGTTATTATCGGAACTATTTAGAGGCATTTCGAAAGTTTAATGCAACCTTTATCTCAGCAAATTAGGTCTGGCTTTGCAGTATCGATCACTGGATTGACTGGCCCAAACAAACAATTTCAGTAACATGTTCATCAATGGACCAGAATACTCTCATCCTTTCGCGAACACCTGGTATCATCACTTTTTGGTTGAATATTTCATAAATACATGCTTTTGATGTACTTTGTATACACAATTGACTCTCTGCTTTTAGAAGAGATATGTAAACGGTTTTGTCACTCTTATCTTGGCAAACTTGGCAAAGTTTATGTCACCAGTGAACACAATGTCATGCAGGCTTTCATGATCTGAACGCAACATATTACATTGTCCACTTGCCCAGCCTGTGGAACAGATGAGGGAAATTCGTCATACAGTACATGTTGATAACATGACGTTTGTATTGAGATTACTAGATAATGAAGGTACGTGGGTGGGTATACATTGTCACAGCCTTAATTTCCAGCATAAATCTGGTACAAAAGACCAACACCATTTTTTGTTCTCATTTTCCTGATTCAGTTGTTAGATAACCTCGCACCACCTATGCCTCAATAACGAACACACATGGCTGTCTTTTAGTGATTAAGTTCGAGAAACATGCTAAGTTGCCATTTATGACTTTACATGGGACCTATGCCTCTGACAGTAAACCACTTTTCGGAAAACTATATCTGCCAGTTCTGAGTGAGTTAATGAGTTCAGTTAAAACCGTTTAAACCATTATGTCAGTTACTATAGGTCATGTGAGTGTGGGACCAAAGCCCCAACTGACTCAGGTCTCAGACGTTTATCACGATGGGGAAATCCACGAGTATCGGTTTATAGGAGGCAAGCATAGTATATTCCTTATGGAAATTGCCATACAAAATATAGCAGAGAAGCGCTCTCGTTAAAATGTTTAACAAAGATAACTCGTTTCATCATTTTAACTTCATGGCCAACCGCTTGTCTGAATACAGGCCATGGCCAACCAACGGCTTTTCTTGATACAGACCATTGCCAACCAACAGCTCGTCTTGATACATCCTACTATGCTCCAGAACGCCACAAAACACTGATAGCCTACTCAACCACTTGGGATACGCCACCCCATTTCATTACAAATATCAATTTGTTTTATAAATTCAAATCCTATTCTTCTTCCCATGGAAACTGAAAGCAATTCCTAGCAGGTCAATACAGTAAGGGAACGAGCACATTGGCTCATCATACAAGGAGTTTACATTTCTTGCTTTTATTGACATTTCATCTTTTGGATCATGTTTGTATATTTGTTTGAATATTTTGTTTTCACCATCTGACCCAGTGTAAAGTAGACCATGTGTTACTCTGTTGGATCAACAACACAACTCGTGATATTGTTACGGCTATGTTCATTATCTATAACATACTTATTTGTATATTCTTACCCCATGATTATCTACCTCCTCCAACCTAGCAAACTGCCAGGTCAGAGAAAGGGAGAGTGAGAGCGGATTTTCACGACACTTGTGATGCATAATGGCGGCAACAAGCGCCAACACTTGCGTTTACATATCGTAGGAAAGTATTTGGTTGTAAAAACGTTGTTAAATTTTATTCGAAACCCGAAAATCTTCTGGTTTTTAATGGGTTTGAATTCCTTTCTTGAAAGGTGCCATTTCCCAGATGTGAAAAGATATCGATATAATGAACTTCGCATCACTGATATGCGTTGGAATCAAATTTATTCAAAAGGTTACCAGAAACAGACAGATTTTGTGGGTTTTGCGCAGCATTAATCTAACATCCGAGATCACTGTGGGAGATTGTGGTTACAACGTGTGCACAGACTTTTCCTATAGAGGCCTCGAGGGAAGTATTTATAAGAATGTACCTTATGCTTTACTTTAAACTGCTGCTGCTGGGAGAGTTGGTGATGTGGAGGCTGGGGTTCCTGGTACAACCAGACGAAGACTGTGTTCACTCACGGGGATTGTGTCGACTTTCAATTCTCGGGATTCGAGACGCCATTGATTATGGACGTCTCTATTGTACCATGATTAAGACAATCAATGACTGAGTCTTAAAACTATGGTTTGCAGGGCATTGCAAAAGTGGGCATTACAGTTCATAAAAGTCTATTTTGTTATTCAATTGCTGTAAGAGTAATTTCGATATAAAACGTCAATGTATTTTTTCCATCACATTTAGAACATGTTATTACTCCATAAACCACCGTTGGTGGTACAACAACAATGTATTACACATTTCGGTATAATATTGACAACAGGACGGCTATAAGTTCTGATTTCTGAACACATGATTGGTATGAAGTTAGATACAGATGTAACAAATCGGATGTACAAAATAGGCGCTTGAAAGATTACGTTATGCCAAAAGTGTACTTTTGTACTCATTTCTGCTTTCTGTGAAAACAGCCACAGCCTGTTCAGGATGGCCGACAGTCGACACACAATAGATAATTAACGATCAGGATTATAGCGCCATGCGTACTGGATGTAAAGTGAATCAAAACACATTGTATGCCTATTGCAGTGATCATCCTTGGAATTCAATATTTATTCGGGAAATACTTGTCCCGAATCCATCGAGATGACCTTAACCAAAGATTTAACTGCTTGACCAAATACTACATAACTAATATCAATCATTATAATAATAATAATTATTAGATGCTTCGCTGAATGAACTATGAAAGTTATACCAAACTTTATGACAATGGCGACTATCGGCTACCATCAGGCATCTCATGTATGTCTGATGATCCGTCATTGGTCCTATGCATAGTAAAGCTTCCTCACTACGTCTTGTACTACGAACATAAGCACGTCTCAGGTTGGCACCGAAATGTATCGCCACGATTCCGTAATATGAATGTCAAGCATCTTGATATATATTAATGTGTGTGGGGATCCTTGCATCAACAAAGCATATGTCAAGCATCTTGATATATATTAAAGTGTGTTGGGATCCTTGCATCAACAAAGCATATGTCAAGCATCTTGATATATATTAAAGTGTGTTGGGATCCTTGCATCAACAAAGCATATGTCAAGCATCTTGATATATATTAAAGTGAGTGGGGATCCTTGCATCAACAAAGCATATGTCAAGCATCTTGATATATATTAAAGTGTGTTGGGATCCTTGCATCAACAAAGCATATGTCAAGCATCTTGATATATATTAAAGTGAGTGGGGATCCTTGCATCAACAAAGCATATGTCAAGCATCTTGATATATATTAAAGTGTGTTGGGATCCTTGCATCAACAAAGCATATGTCTTGATATATATTAAAGTGTGTTGGGATCCTTGCATCAACAAAGCATCAAGCATCTTGATATATATTAAAGTGAGTGGGGATCCTTGCATCAACAAAGCATATGTCAAGCATCTTGATATATATTAAAGTGTGTGGGATCCTTGCATCAACAAAGCATATGTCAAGCATCTTGATATATATTAAAGTGGGGATCCTTGCATCAACAAAGCATGTCAAGCATCTTGATATATATTAAAGGGTGGGGATCCTTGCATCAACAAAGCATAAGTGTCAAGCATCTTGATATATATATAAAGTTAAAGTGTGTGTGGGATCCTTGCATCAACAAAGCATCAACAAAGCATATGTCAAGCATCTTGATATATATTAAAGTGTGTTGGGATCCTTGCATCAACAAAGCATATGTCAAGCATCTTGATATATATTAAAGTGTGTGGGGATCCTAGCATCAACAAAGCATATGTCAAGCATCTTGATATATATTAAAGTGTGTTGGGATCCTTGCATCAACAAAGCATATGTCAAGCATCTTGATATATATTAAAGTGAGTGGGGATCCTTGCATCAACAAAGCATATGTCAAGCATCTTGATATATATTAAAAAGTGTGTTGGGATCCTTGCATCAACAAAGCATATGTCAAGCATCTTGATATATATTAAAGTGTGTGGGGATCCTTGCATCAACAAAGCATATGTCAAGCATCTTGATATATATTAAAGTGTGTTGGGATCCTTGCATCAACAAAGCATATGTCAAGCATCTTGATATATATTAAAGTGAGTGGGGATCCTTGCATCAACAAAGCATATGTCAAGCATCTTGATATATATTAAAGTGTGGGATCCTTGCATCAACAAAGGGATCCTTGCATCAACAAAGCATATGTCAAGCATCTTGATATATATTAAAGTGTGTGGGGATCCTTGCATCAACAAAGCATATGTCAAGCATTGTCATCAACAAAGCATATGTCAAGCATCTTGATATATATTAAAGTGTGTTGGGATCCTTGCATCAACAAAGCATATGTCAAGCATCTTGAATATATCTTGATATATATTAAAGTGTGATATATATTAAAGGGTGGGGATCCTTGCATCAACAAAGCATATGTCAAGCATCTTGATATATATTAAAGCATATGTCAAGTCTGGGTGTTGGGATCCTTGCATCAACAAAGCATATGTCAAGCATCTTGATATATATTAAAGTGTGTGGGGATCCTTGGATCCTTGCATCAACAAAGCATATGTCAAGCATCTTGATATATATTAAAGTGTGTTGGGATCCTTGCATCAACAAAGCATATGTCAAGCATCTTGATATATATTAAAGTGTGTGGGGATCCTTGCATCAACAAAGCATATGTCAAGCATCTTGATATATATTAAAGTGAGTATCAACAAATGTGGGGATCCTAGCATCAACAAATTATATGTCAAGCATCTTGATATAAATTAAAGTGTGTTGGGATCCTTGCATCATCAAAGCATATGTCAAGCATCTTGATATATATTAAAGTGTGTTGGGATCCTTGCATCAACAAAGCATATGTCAAGCATCTTGATATATATTAATGTGTGTTGGGATCCAAGCACAAATAAAACATGGGTCAAGCATCTTGATATATGCTAATGTGTGTGGTGATCCAAGCACCAATAAAACATGGGTCAAGCATCTTGAAACATATTAATTATCCTTGCATCAACCAAACATGCATCTTGAAGCATTCCGATGAACGTAGTAACCCTAGTATCAACAAAGCATATGTCAAACATATTTATGCATTCTGATGGAAAGTATGAGTTGTAGATCGTACTTTAGTCCTGTAATTACATCCCATAAAAGAAATATTTTAGCAATGAAATAATTATAACTTGCTGAGGTAAAGTCACTCTCACTGCTTGACGTCATCAAGCTTGCATTGTTTACAGCCTCGTCAGGATGGGAAAACTAGAATGTTGATGCAAAGCTTGGGGGCATGTTTCGTGTTAGAATGGAAATCTAGTTAAAACAATTAACAGATAGAATCAATTAATATTCATTGTAAAACATCTCAGTGTCGCATCTTTATGCATGCAACAGGTCGGTTGTGTATATATTGATTGGCATTATATCCAGGGAATTCCAGTGGGTGGAGATCCGTTCTGAAATATTATGGAATTACAACCAGGTTGATGTTATAACCAGGTTGATGTTATAACCAGAGGCATTATATCCAGGGAGCCTAGTAATTACACCCATTGCATGCTTTCCACCATTTTGTTATTATCTGGTTGTAGGCTTGTATTTCAGCCTCGACGTCACTTCACCGCTTGCTGACAGGTGAGCTTTGTAGTCCAGGTCTTACTGAAAGATATGTGAGAGTTACATTAAATACACGTAAAGAGTTGGGCACATACGGATGTTATAACCTGGTTGATGTTATAACCAGAGGCATTATATCCAGGGAGCCTAGTAATTACACCCATTGCATGCTTTCCACCATTTTGTTATTATCTGGTTGTAGGCTTGTATTTCAGCCTCGACGTCACTTCACCGCTTGCTGACAGGTGAGCTTTGTAGTCCAGGTCTTACTGAAAGATATGTGAGAGTTACATTAAATACACGTAAAGAGTTGGGCACATACAGGTCACATCAGGCCAAGGCCGTCCTATAAATAAGAGGACTAAACTTTTAATGCCAATAAACACGCACACTTTGTGTAGGCTACAAGAGCAGCAGGGGGTCTCCAGTGGACAGGGATGGTAAACACGAACATGCCTGCAATCACGACACACATTCTGTCAATGGCGGCGGTCCGTTCTTATAGCATTTATACGACTTTCAAAAATGTCACGTTAGGAAAGAAGGAACTCGCTCTTGCACCTCGTCCTTTCACTAGTATGACGTTCTGTAGATGCATATAGACTATTGGGAATATCTGTAGTACAGAGTAGTGTAGCATGGAGAACTGGGGAATATGTGTAGCATGGAGAACTGGGGAATATGTGTAGCGTGGAGAACTGGGGAATATGTGTAGCGTGGAGAACTGGGGAATATGTGTAGCATGGAGAACTGGGGAATATGTGTAGCATGGAGAACTGGGGAATATGTGTAGCATGGAGAACTGGGGAATATGTGTAGCATGGAGAACTGGGGAATATGTGTAGGAATATGTGTAGCATGGAGAACTGGGGAATATGTGTAGCAATGGAGAAACTGGGGAATATGTGTAGCTGGGGAATATGGAGAACTGGGGAATATGTTGTACCATGGAGAACTAATATGCATGGAGAACTGGGGAATATGTGTAGCATGGAGAACTGGGGAATATATGTGTAGCGTGGAGAACTAGGGGAATATGTGTAGAGCATGGAGAACTGGGGAATATGTGTAGAACATGGAGAACTGGGGAATATGTGTAGCATGGAGAACTGGGTGTAGCATGGAGAACTAATGTGTAGCTGGGGAATATGGAGGAGAACTGGGGAATATGTGTAGCGTGGAGAACTAGGGGAATATGTGTAGCATGGAGAACTGGGGAATGGAGAACTGGGGAATATGTGTAGAACTGGGGAATATGTGTATGGAGAACTGGGGAATATGTGTGTAATGGAGAACTGGTAGCAGGAGAACTGGGGGAATATGTGTAGCATGGAGAACTGGGGAATATGTGTAGCATGGAGAACTGGGGAATATTTGTACCATGGAGAACTTTGAAATATGTGTAGCGTGGCGTACTTGGGAATATGTGTAGCATGGAGAACAGGGGAATATGTGTAGCATGGCGTACTGGGGAATATGTGTAGGTGGAGAACTGGGGAATATGTGTAGCTTGAGAACTGGGGAATATGTGTAGCATGGCGTACTGGGGAATATGTGTAGCATGGAGAACTGGGGAATATGTGTAGCATGGAGAACTGGGGAATATGTGTAGCATGGAGAACTGGGGAATATGTGTAGCATGGAGAACTGGGAATATGTGTAATATGTGTGTAGCATGGAGAACTGGGGAATATGTGTAGCATGGGGGTAACTGGGGAATATGTGTAGCATGGAGAACTGGGGAATATGTGTAGCATGGAGAACTGGGGAATATGTGTAGCATGGAGAACTGGGGAATATGTGTAGCATGGAGAACTGGGGAATATGTGTAGAATGGAATATGTGTAGCATGGAACTGGGGAATATGTGTAGCATGGAGAACTTTGAAATATGTGTAGCGTGGAGAACTGGGGAATATGTGTACCATGGAGAACTGGGGAATATGTGTACCATGGAGAACTTGGGAATATGTGTGGCATGGAGAACTGGGGAATATGTGTAGCATGGAGAACTGGGGAATATTTGTACCATGGAGAACTTTGAAATATGTGTAGCGTGGAGTACTTGGGAATATGTGTAGCATGGAGAACTGGGGAATATGTATAGCATGGAGAACTGGGGAATATGTGTAGCGTGGAGAACTGGGGAATATGTGTAGCTTTGAGAACTGGGGAATATGTATAGCATGGCGTACTGGGGAATATGTGTAGCATGGAGAACTTTGAAATATGTGTAGCGTGGCGTACTTGGGAATATGTGTAGCATGGAGAACAGGGGAATATGTGTAGCTTGGAGAACTGGGGAATATGTGTAGCTTTGAGAACAGGGGAATATGTGTAGCGTGGAGAACTGGGGAATATGTGTAGCTTGGAGAACTGGGGAATATGTGTAGCTTTGAGAACAGGGGAATATGTATAGCATGGCGTACTGGGGAATATGTGTAGAATGGAGAACTTTGAAATATGTGTAGCGTGGCGTACTTGGGAATATGTGTATCATGGAGAACAGGGGAATGTGTGTAGCGTGGAGAACAGGGGAATATGTGTAGCGTGGAGAACTGGGAATAAGTGTGTAGCTTTGAGGACAGGGGATATGTGTAGCATGACGTACTGGGGAAAATGTGTAGCATGGAGAACAGGGGAATATGTGTAGCGTAGAGGACTGGAGAATATGTGTAGCGTGGAGAACTGGGGAATATGTGTAGCATGGAGAACAGGGGAATATGTGGAGCGTGGAGAACTGGAGGGAATATGGAACATTTGCAACAGAGGGACTGGAGAACACTTGGCTGGCAGGGATTACTGTAGAACACCTGTGGCAGGGAACTACAAGAACACCTGTGGCAGTGATAACTGGAGAACACTTGTTGCAGGGAGGGACTGGTGAACGCTGTGAGGAACACTTGTGGCGTGGAGGACTGGAGAACACTTGTGGCAGGGGAAGACTGGAGAACACTTGTTGGGGAGGGCTGCAGAACACCTGGAGGGAGGGACTGGAGAACACTTGTGGCAGGGGACTGGAGAGACTGGAGAACACTTGTGGCAGGGATGACTGGAGAACACTTGTGGCGTGGAGAGACTGGAGAACACTTGTGGCAGGGAAGACTGGAGACACTGTTGCAGGGAGGACTGGGGAACACCAGGGAGGAGACTGGAGAACACCTTTTGGCAGGGAGGAGTGGAGAACACTTGTAGCATGAATGACTGGAGAGCACTTGTAGCATGGATGACTGGAGAACATTTGTTGCGGGGAAGGCTGGAGAACACTTGTGGCGGAGAGGACTGAAGAACACTTGTGGTAGGGAGGACAGGAGAACACTTTTAGCATGGATGACTTGAGAACACTTGTGGCGGGGAGAACTGCAGAACACTTGTGCCGGGGAAGACTGTAGAACACTTTTGGCGTGGTAGACTGGAGAACACTTGTGGCGGGGTAGACTGGAGAACACCTGTTGTGGGGTGGACTGGAGAACACTTGTGGCGGGGAAGACTGGAGAAAACTTGTGGCAGGGAAGACTGGAGAACACCTGTAGTGGGATGGACTGGAGAACACTTGTGGTAGGGAAGACTTGAGAACACTTGTGGCAGGGAGGACTGGAGGACACTTGTGGTAGGGAAGACTTGAGAACACTTGTGGCAGGGAGGACTGGAGGACACTTGTGGTAGGGAAGACTTGAGAACACTTGTGGCAGGGAGGACTCGAGGACACTTGTGGTAGGGAAGACTTGAGAACACTTGTGGCGGGGAGGACTGGAGGACACTTGTTGCAGGGAGGACTGGAGGACACTTGTGGCAGGGATGACTGGAGAACATTTGTGGTAGGGAAGACTTGAGAACACTTGTGGCAGGGAGGACTGGAGAACACTTGTGGTAGGGAAGACTTGAGAACACTTGTGGCAGGGAGGACTCGAGGACACTTGTTGCAGGGAGGACTGGAGGACACTTGTGGCAGGGATGACTGGAGAACATTTGTGGTAGGGAAGACTTGAGAACACTTGTGGCAGGGAGGACTGGAGAACACTTGTGGTAGGGAAGACTGGAGAACACTTGTGGCAGGGAGGACTGGGGGACACTTGTTGCAGGGAGGACTGGAGGACACTTGTGGTAGGGAAGACTTGAGAACACTTGTGGCGGGGAGGACTGGAGGACACTTGTGGTAGGGAAGACTTGAGAACACTTGTGGCAGGGAGGACTGGGGGACACTTGTTGCAGGGAGGACTGGAGGACACTTGTGGCAGGGAGGACTGAAGGACATGGGGATCACGTGTACCATTGAGCACTGAGTAACACGCAGTATTTTAGATTCATGTCTTTTAGTTTCTAGTGGTTTAGTTTCTACTTTTTCTTCCACTACTGCAACCAGGCCGGGCTGTAAAACCCTTCACGCTGAATACTCAATCAGAAAACTAAGTCTTTGAGGAATTAATCTACATATATGAATCTATTTACGTTCGTAGAATAGGCTGTGTAATGGATGTTTGTTTGTGCGAGTGAAAAGCCACAGCTGAGATTATTATCGTGACCTGTGGAGTGTTACCACTATAACAGCAGCAGCTTTATGAGGGCTATAAACATAGCGCAATCAGACATCTGTAGATACCGAACTGATACTGAACAATAGCGGGTGCAACCCACATACTGCACGGCTGGAGGTTCCTAAAAAACTGAGTTGTGTGTTGTGAGTTGTGTGTTCAAATCACTCTTCACTTGCGTGAATATACTATTTCAAACCAATAGGCATTACACATGGTATTGCATTGCTTTGTTTTGCTGGAATGTTGTGCTAATAGTGAGTGAGTATGGTTTTAGGCAGCATTTAGCAATATTCCAGCAATATCACGGCGGTGGTCATCAGAAATTTGCTTCACATACGTGCTTCTGAACACTACCACGACCGAAGATAACATGATTCAAGTATAACTCTCCTATAACGCTCGAGGCGAATATGCAGACAGGCTAACCTGCTTCTATACTGTCTCAAATAATAACACTTTATTTCTGTATATCATTATTGTGCAACCGGCATGGAACATTTTATAACATTACGGAAATACAATCATTTGAGAGTAAAGTCTATAATCTTAGTTTACTGTCGGTTGGCGGGGGAAGCAAGCAGAAGGACGTGTCAGATTATTGTACTGTAAAATGATGTATTCCTCGTCGGCCATCCTATTAGAAAGCAGGCGCTGTAGAATATATAATGAATATGTTTAAACCTGTTGTCATCGCAACCAATGTTCCTAACCAAGCGAGACATCTAAAAGGCCTGATACATACATGCACGTACCAGATCCCAGCATGTCTGGCTTCACATGACATAACATAACAAACATATTGTTCAACTCTATTCCATGTACATGTTTCATGAAGATCGGTATGCCGACACAGTAATACATTAAAGGCTTTCACCCTGCACTGCACATTGCAGCTGTTCCCGTTTGCAATGAAAGCAACAGTTGAGTTGCTTTTGAACAATTTTAACGTGACCTTTTCTGTGACACTTACATGTAAGCAAGCATAATTCCATGTATATGAAGACGGAAGCTAAAACTGAGCTGGAACATTGCATTCATGTTGGAATCGAACCTGGTGGCTATTGGGTCTGGTAAGCTAACCCCCTGCATTACTTCTGTAAAGCCATAGGAACATACGTATAGTACGTACAGTAATAACAATTGTGAATGATAAAGTGAAACGTATTATTGCTGTAAAATAAGAGTTTTGTCAGAACAGAGGCTTCCTCATAGAATCAACAGCTTTCAGGCCATAGCGAAGTAAATGTAAAACAGAGTACGTGGCTTGGCTTTTCTTAACCACTTTTAATCAGCTTAATTTTATGAGGTCATTTGGTGAGACACACGTGATTTCACAATGAAATGCAAATAAACTCTATGTTGAATATAAGGTTTTAAGACTTGCTTGTGAAATCCCATACAACTCAAGCTGACATATACCCCTCATATTGTCATAACTCGTTAAACAATCCAGCTGTCTGGTTGGTCAGTCGCCCTCTCATTATGGCCAGTTTGGATATGTCACATCATAACATTTGATGGGGCGTGACTTTGTCGTTACTTTAAATTTGTCTCTGTTCGTATCTCGAGTCACAGCATGCTGGTAGCACGTTGATGAAGTTATTGTCACGCACGCATAGCGCACGTATGAGGCACACATGCACGCATGCACGCACGCCAGTACAAAATTATGAGATGTACACCTGTAATGATGGTAATAATAATAATAATAATGAGAAGTCTTATAATGCGCTAATCTCCACGCAACAAAGCATGCTCCAAGCGCTAACACCCTGATTATTATTACATCCATTTAGAGAGCGTACTGGATGTTATGTGTAATATACCATTGTGATCACCGTTCGACCTCATCACCCATACGATTCAATTTGCTTCACTGACGTAATGCAGAGACAGCTGACGAGATATTATTGCCAAGGTGATGTGTCGTGTCTTTTGTGGGAGGCCATTCGGTAAAAAATATTACATCAGTTGAAATAAAGGTTTCCTGTAAGCAATAATATTCAAATGTCATGAATAAATTACGCAATGTTCTTTAATATAGGTTAAAATACCAAATAAGTGAAAAGCCCCAATATCATTACGTTAAGTGATGCCAGTCGGCGTTATGAGGTGAGGTGAGTTGAAATTGGGTTTTACGTCGTGCTTGAGAATATTTCGCTCATATGACGACGTGCATGCGTGTGTAAGTGTATGTGCGGATGCTTGTACTAGCCCAGACTTAAGCTGGTTTTATAGTGCTAGCCCACTGAGATACCATGCTGCAGTGAAGCATGAATACCACACTCAGACACATTATACTGACTCCGAGCCGACCAGTCCTTGTTGTACCCATTAATGCCGAGCGCCAGGCAGGGACCAACAAGTACCATATTTTAACGTCTTTTGGTATGACGCGGTCGGGGATCGAAACCGCTGTCTTCCGCTCTCCGGGCGGACGCTCTAACCACTACACCACGGAGGCGGCCCAGCGTTATGACTTGTATCCCTCCACTCATCGAGACCCGTTCTACATTAGCAGCCGTTACAGCGATTTCTTACATGTAACACTGAACCCTGTATCTAATATGAAAGTATGTGTGGGAAGCTGGCACACTTTGAAATTCAAAACCACGCTTTCTTCTCATTTCATCGAATCGACTAATGTTAAGTTTACCAGTAATTTTAGAGTTGGTGAAATGAAATGTCCATTCTTTACAGCATAGATTCCGAGTAGAAATGATGGTAGACACACCATAGAGGACACCTAGCTTGAGTCTACGTCTGTCGCTGACTGTGGCGTTTAGCTGCATTTGATACTTAACTCCATACTTAAGGAACAGGGGCCGTGGGGTAGCCTAGTGATTAAATCGTTCCCTCGTCAATCCGAAGACCCGGGTTAGATTCTCCACATGGGTACAATGTGTGAAGCCCATTTCTGGTGTCCCCGCCGTGATATTGCTGGAATATTGATAATAGCGGTGCAAAATGAAAGCCACTCACTCACTCACCCTAACATAAATGCAAGGAGGATTTGTTAGAGGACAATGCAGAAGCTTGTCGCAAGGAGTAAATACCATGGAGTAATTGAATGGGTTATTATGTCTTGCACAGCTTTTAGCAATATTTCTGCAATAAGACGACTGGGGGCATCAGAAATGACTTCACACACTGTACCCACGTTAGGAATCGAGCCCGGGTCTACGGCCTGACATGCGACCGCTTCACTCACCTGGTAACCGTACCTCCACAGACACACTTACTGTACATGTACGACCTGTTATTGAAAGTACGTCATGCCATAGATAAAAATAATTTCAGAAAGCCAGATGCAGTTAAAGCGGAGATGCTAAAAAGTCTTATTTACAACTACAGACAGGTTTAGTATTGCCATATCGTTTACAACTACAGACAGGTTTAGTATTGCCATATCGTTTACAACTACAGACAGGTTTAGTATTGCCATATCGTTTACAACTACAGACAGGTTTAGTATTGCCATATCGTTTACAACTACAGACAGGTTTAGTATTGCCATATCGTTTACAACTACAGACAGGTTTAGTATTGCCATATCGTTTACAACTACAGACAGGTTTAGTATTGTTTACAACTACAGATATCGTTTACAACTACAGACAGGTTTAGTATTGCCATATCGTTTACAACTACAGACAGGTTTAGTATTGCCATATCGTTTTACAACTACAGACAGGTTTAGTATTGCCATATCGTTTACAACTACAGACAGGTTTAGTATTGCCATATCGTTTACAACTACAGACAGGTTTAGTATTGCCATATCGTTTACAACTACAGACAGGTTTAGTATTGCCATATCGTTTACAACTACAGTTTAGTATTGCCATATCGTTTACAACTACAGACAGGTTTAGTATTGCCATATCGTTTACAACTACAGACAGGTTTAGTATTGCCATATCGTTTTACAGACTTTACAGTTTACAACTACAGACAGGTTTAGTATTCGTTTACCATTTATATTGCGTTTACAACTACAGACAGGTTTAGTATTGCCATATCGTTTACAACTACAGACAGGTTTAGTATTGCCATATCGTTTACAACTACAGACAGGTTTAGTATTGCCATATCGTTTACAACTACAGACAGGTTTAGTATTGCCATATCGTTTACAACTACAGACAGGTTTAGTATTGCCATATCGTTTACAACTACAGACAGGTTTAGTATTGCCATATCGTTTCCCTAATCAAGGAAACTCAGAAAACAATATCAAATGCTGCAGATCGTGGTGACAGAACTGTTTACACATGTTCAACATGAAAACAAACAAACGACTAATTGTTTTGCATGAAATAGTTCCTTTCAATGTGCGGGGTAGCCTAGTAGCGTTCGCTCGTCACGCCAAAGACCCGGGTTCGATTCTCCACATGGGTACAAGGTCTGAAGCCCATTTATGATGCCCCCTCCGTGATATTGCTGGGATATTACCATAAGCGGCGTAAAACTAAACTCACTCACTCATATTACAAGGTAGGTTTGGAATTGTTGGATTCTATGCCCATAGGCGCCATAACCTATGGAAGATTATACCGGCATGTACAGCAATGCCGTCATGTGCCACATAGTGGATGTATTCATGATGGCGCTGGAACATAACGGAACAGAAGCAATGTTCTGTCTAAGTGAGATCGGGATATGTAACTGACCAGGTCTCTGTTTCGGTACAGTTTGAAAGTGATGCAAATTGAAGGATCGTCTACACATATTCCAAATACGAACTGGCATTAGGAATGTTTATCTGTCGCACAACATATCTCTTGAGTTCTGGACGTTTGGCATTCTGAAATACTATTGACAATGCTTGTGTACATTGTAACTTGATATGAAACCCCAGTGCTGGGTACATTAATAATTGCACATACTGACTTCTTCAGCTTGATTACTAAATATTAAGCTTTAGCAGAGCCAAGTCTCATAGGTATTCGTATGACAATGTATAGGAAAAAGTGAAATGCTGGTTTTCACACATCGATAAAATGATAAAAATCATGTGACCTGAGTCGGGAAGAAGTTTCTGTTCCCAGTATTTAAGAAATAATTTAAACTATCCCAGATGTGTTATTTCCCTCTATCCCCATGGATTCAGAATGCATGAAAACATCTCAAATCATTGAAAATATCATTTAAAAAAACACATTTGTTCAATTTCGTTTTTCCATCGTTTGTTTTGTTTAAGGCTATTTAAGACATTGTTTACATATTATTAAAACGAGGTACCAATACCAGCACCATCACAACACAAGACCTGAGTGAATAAACGACGTGTTTATTGGACAACCACCGAATGATTTGTGACTGTCTGTCGTCCCTATTTTATACCAATTCCAGCTATCACAGTTAATTACATTTACTGATTAAACTGACGATAGGGTTGTTATTGTGAACTTACGATTATATCATTTAGATTGATCGAGGCATTGATGATGTATACTAGCCACATAAAGAAACTGTGCACACAGAAAATTCCTTCAGAATTGGAATACAACACAGAAAAGACGAAATGATGTAGACACTTTATAAGCTGAAGTATCGGGCCTCAACAACATGTCAAAAGAACATGAATAATATCCGTAACGATGACGTCAGAAGTTCAAAATTGAGTAGGG